CCAAAGCATGTGAGGATGTTAGCAGCATCTTCAACCTGTGAGGCTGAGGTTTCTTATTCCAATTACTTCAATGTAGGTCTCCGCCTACATTAAAATGTCACCATTTTAAAACAAACGAACAAAAAGCTTTTAAATGATGTTAATCCACTGGATTATTGCAAAGCCCACAGAGACAATACTGGCTATACAGAGAGATTTGCTTGATTCCTCCAATCCAGTGATGCACATTGTGTGTCATGGCAGGTCACATGGATGGGGGGTGGGAGTAGGAAGGAAAGTATTGTGTAGTGGGTTGCCGCATGGATGGACGACAGACAACGACTTGGTGCATGGCACGCTTTATTAGGTACACAACAAGAACAAGAACAAACGGCCGGCAGGCCAACTATATACATACCTGGTTTTAGCTATATATTTGCCTTTTAGAGAGCTTGACCCCTGGTTGATTGACATGGATGGCTTTCTCATAGTTGCATGCAACATTTGACATGTAAAAAGAAACATCGGGAAGGGAAACCACCTTATTCCCAAACCTCTGGGTTTTTTGTTACCAGCCTCTGGAGTTCTCCCCAACTGCAACTGATTTCCAGACTACAGAGGTCAGTTCCCCGGAAGGAAATGGCAGCTTCAGATGACAGAGTCTTTAGTAGAATATCCCCACTGAGCTCCTGCTCTCCAACCTGTGTCCTCCTCAGGCACCACTCCTAAATCTCTAGGAATTTCTTAAATTAGAGTTGACAACCCTAGAATCTATTGCTTGCCTTCAATCACTTTTTATAAATATGGATTCCTACTGTCTGTAAATGCCTGCATATCAGTGGCAAACTTTTCATATTCATAATGATCCTCTTTTGGGAACATTATGTTGTCATTGTGAAAACAAACCAACCCTGAAAACGTAGAATCTGCTTAGGGATGCCGAGCAGTAGTAGGCAATTGCCTGCTGCTACACCCGGGTGCCCACCACCAATCAATTCAGTGGCGAGAAAGGGAGGGTAAGCTTGCATTGCTGACACCGTGATGTAGTTACTGGGTAAAAACCCAGAAGTTACCCCCCCCCCGATGCTCTCGGGGCTCTAGTGATCTCCCAGGTTTTTGCCCAGAATATAGTGTTGGTGATGCCATTTTCCAGGGCTCGCCCCTGAAGATTTCTTGGGAGTTGACAGCAGTGGCCTCAGCCTTCCGAAGCTGCCATTTCAAGGGAACTGAACTCTCTGTGTGGAGATCAACTGTAATTACAGGAGACTTCCAGGCCCCACCTGGAAGCTGGCAAGCACAGCAGGTCCTGCCTTACTACTATCCAAGGTGAAAATACCTGCTTCAGGTGGCAGCTTTTGGCGATTCTTTGAGAGGAATGTTACATTGCAGTGCTGTCATGCTAGCTGCAATATTTTAAATTTAATTTTCTGCTGACAGAACAGTGGCAGACAGTGGATGTTGCTGGTGGGAGCTCTCCCACCATAGACCTGGCAACCCTAGGCTTGGGCCACCTCCAGCTGAAGAATGGGACAAAATATAACAATATTACCCCCCACCCCTGCTCATCTATCCAGTACATCTTTTCTAATTACATTGATTAAAAAATGGCTGCTAGATGTTCACACTTTTTATTCCTACTTGGTTTCAGATTGTCAGGCAGAAAATCTGGGGTGGGCCAGAAGTACACACAGGTTCTTTCCACACTTGGATTTCATCCCTGGTTTTATCAGAGTTCAGCTTGCAACTCAATACCTTGCATTTATCCCTGGTTATAACAGCATCCGTTTATCCTGGGACGAGTGTGGGGCAAAACCCGGGTGACCTCAATGTAATGTGGAAACAAAAAATACTCTGAGATATACAGGGGTGAACTCGAGTGTAATGTAGAATTTAAGTTCGAGGACAGGGCTGAACCAAGATTTAAGGTCTAGTGCGGAATCACCCACAGTTAGAAATCTGGACTCCTCCTTACCTTAGCTCCAGCTGCTACACTTTATTTTATTTATTTATTTATTTACGCATTTTTACCCCGTCCTCCCTGCAAACGGGCTCAGGGCGGCTTACAAGGGGCATGAGCCCATGCATAAAACCAGATATCAAACCATGATAAAACCTTCCAAGCTGTTGTAGCATCTGACATTATAGAGCACAACGTTGCAAATTCCACCCACATGGCAGATTCAAACAGACATCCAAATGGTTAAAAATACAAACTATTAAACCCAGTTCTACTTAATACCATAATTCTCGATAAATGAATAATGAAAACAATTGTTTTCTCATTAGAGCTGGGTGGGGTGAGAAACATGTCAGAGAGAAATCAAGGCGAGAAAAGTCTAAAATGTTCTAGTTCTGTCTGTCTTCCACTCTGTCACCTTGAGGAAGTCAGCCAAGATTTCACAATATAAAGTTGTTTTTGTTTTGCCTATTTATTCCAAGTGGACTGGTATTTGAACAGACTGTGGATGGCAGAGAAGCATACATTTTGCAATGGAAACATTAAAAAGAAAAAATGGGTAAGCATGCTGTATGTAGGGCAGAGAGTCGTCTTTCTTCTGTTTCCCCACTGGGCCTAGACTGAAGTAACTTCTGTTCCACAAACTGTGTAAAACAGAATCATTCAGGACACCACACATAATGGAATGGAGGGCACTTTTATAAAGGGCACAGAATTTCAGTCTGTTTCACTGTTCATTGTATGTACTGTCTTGCTCTTACTGCACTCTTTTCTACTTTTGTAATTCCATTTTTTGCACTGTTTATGAAATATCATGTCTGATACTTTTTTGCACTGTTTTTAATATCTGAAATCCTGGTCCTGTTGCATTTTTTTTTTTGTTGCAGGAGTCCCCAACCTTTTTGAGCCTGTGAGCGCATTTTGAATTGTGACACGGGGCGGTGGATACAACCACAAAATGCCTGCTGCAGTGGGTGGAGCCAAGTAGAAAATGTTAGGGACTGAAGTTATGCATGATTTTAACAGTAACACTTCAACATTTCAGGCAGAAACTCTTTTTAACAGGATGCCTTTTAAAATGAATATATTGTTTTAAAATATTTTCTTGCATACACATACAACTGGAAGCCCCGCTGAGCAAACGCCTCATCTGGCCCTGTCCGCTTTCTGGAAACACTGGCTGGGTACCAGGAAAATGTCAGTGGCCACTGCGGCATCCCCAGGCATCACAGTGGGGACCCCAGGTTTCTTGGATGTCTCCTGCTGTTTGTTTGCATTGTCTTACACTGAGTAATCTGCCTTCAGTCTCAGTGAGAAAGATGGGCTATGCATAAATAAACAGAACTCCACTCAGGAAAGCACTTAGCTTGGGTAGATCTTTTTCAAACCATTAAAAGCAAAGAGAGATTAACACTTGGAATTCACTGCCACAGGAGGTGGTGGCGGCTACAAACATGGACAGCTTCAAGAGGGAATTAAACATATGGAACAGAAGTCCATCAGTGGCTATTAGTCACAAGGTATAGATAGGGACTCTGGGGCAAGTGATGCTCTGTATTTCTTGGTGCTTGGGGGGGGGGTCAACAGTGGGAGGGCTTCTAGTGTCCTGGGCCCACTGGTAGACCTCCTGGTGGCACCTGGCATTTTTGGCCACTGTGTGACAGAGTGTTGGACTAGATGGGCCGTTGGCCTGATCCAACATTGGCTTCTCTTATGTTCTTAAAATGGAGGGGGGGGGAAATCATTACAAATGTCAGAAAGTGTAAGGAGGGGATGAGGAATATATTGTGGGTTGCCAGTCTCCAGGTAATGGCTGGAGATCTGGGATTTCAATTGATCTCCAACAGACATAGGTCAGTTCCTCTGGAGAAAACGGTTGCTATGGAAGGTGAACTCTATCTTGTTACATTCTGGTGAAGTCCCTCCTCTCCCCAAACCCTGCCTTCACCAGACTCCATCCCCAAAATCTCTAGGAATTTCTCAACCCAGAGCTGGCAACCCTAAATATGTCGCTTGTCATCAGTGTACAATTTGGACAAAAAATACAAATGGGACACATAAAGAAATGATCACCTCTAAAAATGTAAGGCCCAATGGGGTTATGGCTTGTCATACACTAAAAGTATAGATCTCTTTGGTACTCATGCTCCATTGTGGTTTGACTCCACTCCAGTATTTTTGCCAAGAAAACCCCATGGACAGTATCAAAAGGCTAAAAGATATGACGCCGGAAGATGAGCCCCTCAGGTCGGAAGGTAACTAGCTTTCTATGTGCAGAGGCATTTTTCACTCATTTATTTATTTTGCAGTATTCACAGTGCACCTTTTTCTCGAAGAGTTAATGCAACTCTCAGTGTCACCCTGTGAACTGGTGCAGTCTTGAAAGTACTGTACCAACTGTTTTCCCCTGCCTCTGAATAGATTTCACTCTCTTTACAATATTCTTCGCAAAGTCTGAGCAGGCATCACATTGCCCCATTGAACGTGTTCTTTGAAACAACAGGGCTAAATTGTCTACTCACGAGGAGATGTACCTTCAAGTATGATTCTATGCACATTAATCGGGGAATAAATTGCAGTGACCTCAATGCAAATTCTGTGTAAACACACACAGGCCGGATTACAAATATATTTAGGACTGGGATGCCGGACTGATTAAAAAGGCCAGACTCCCTTTAGGAACTGCGCTAAGAAGTAACTACTCCCCTTTCCTTTGATTTGAGCCGCCTCTGATTACTAGACAAATAATACTGCAGCCGCTGCAATTGGAAAGATGCAATCTTTGCTCTTAATCCTACAGCTCCCCTACTAGGCAAAGCCCTAAAAATAGCCCTCTGGCAGGAACCTCCCCTCCCCCTCACTCCTAACCCCAGCTGCTATTATCATGTTCTCGGGCCCAGACTTTCCCAGTACTTACGTCACAACTTCCACCCGGCTGAGGTCACAACTTCATTAGCATACCAAGTAGAGCTCAGCCAGTCAGAGGCACTCAGGCTTGTGACGCCTTCCTTTCCAAGCGTATTAAGAGACCGGTTTGCAGCCGCAGCCGGATTAATGAAGCGGGGAGAGAGCGGCGGACGTGAAAGAAGCCTCCCTCGAGAGTGTCGTTGTTAGCCGCCGCTTCTGCGGACGTGAAGAATCGAGCTACTCAGTCCGCTTTATCGTATCTCCTTCTAATCCTCAACCCGGAGCCTTAAAGGAGGCACTCTGACCTCAGTACTAAACGAGACATGAGCCAGATCACGCACTGGAATGGAAGCTGCGTTAGCAATTGCAGCCGGGCAGACATGGTACCCGAGATCGCCGCTGCCGTGGGCTTCGTGTCCAGCTTGCTCCGGACCCGGGGCTGCGTTAGTGAGCAGCAGCTTCAGGTTTTCAGCGGGGCCCTCGAAGAGGCGCTCACAGGTGAGAACGGAGCTTGCCTGTTCGGGAAATCTTTCTGCCTCTGGGCCTCATTGTCTTGGCCAGGCAGAGAGGCGTTTGGTCAGGCTTCACCTTTCTTTCACTGAGCAAGTATAAGGACGATTCTTCTGTTTACCTTCTGCCGCTCTTGCTTCCTCTTTGTTCGTCTAGACAATGCCTTTTGCCCTATTAAATCTCCGCTCATACATAAAGACTTTATTATTTCGAGTGCTGTGTGTTTGCCTCTCTAACTGTAACTTATAGTGGATTGGGGGGGGGGCGGTATTTTTTTTTTAACTATAAAATTGGTAAATTTTTGGAGCTGTGAAAGCATAAATATTATCGAGTAGGAGGCAAAACATTAAGCTTCTCCAAGCATACTATTGGTGTGGATGAAAAAGGCGACTTCTCTGTTCTTGTAATTGAGAAAGCTAGTGAGGGATGTTAGGCATTCGCTGGGAAGTTCTTTTGCACCACCTGCATTAAAATGAAGAATTAAAACAAGGAAGCAGAGGTGTGCTTCAGGGGACCCCTGTGGTTCTTCTGCTCCTCATCTGTGTTTATTTTCCAAGCTCCTGTGAGCTGAGTAGATTTGTCTGTGAGCAGCTGGTTTCAACGGAAGCACTGTTTTGAGCTGCTGTACTTAGTGTGTTGATGCTGAGGCCTGTTCCTCAAATCACTTTCAGCTGTACTGGGGTTTGAATTTGTTTCTCTTCTCTTAAGGGAACTTCTGAGTCGCTCCGCAGATGCTTCCATCTCAAAGTCTACTGTGGGCAGCCTTGGTCAAAACTGCCTAATCTATGTTCCCAATCTTATTCAATATAGCACACCATTGGAAGGGCTTTCTAAGCACACTCATGGGATAGAGGCTCTGCATTAGCTTGGGGTGGAGACAGGGCTGCTAGCTAGGGGTATGTCTAATGAAGCTGTCTGCTAAACAGCTTTAAGTAATTGGCAAAGGGGGCTGACAAATCCATTCAGAAAACCTCCTGGAGTCTTCAGAACCTGGCTTCTGAATTCCCGATTATTTGGAAAAGGAAGCTTCCATATGGTTAAGCTTCAAATAGGAGTAACAATAAATAAGTTCAGTGTATTAGTCCATTTTAGTTATTATTTGTCTTGGAAAATAGTACTTGAATTATCTAAAAGGAAATCATGTGGCGGGGAAGAGAAACCTTAAGGTACCTTGATCCATGTCATAAGAGGAAAAGAGAATTGTGCCTGACTTCAGTAAAAAGCAGATAAAACCCTAGATTTAGGACAGGAGTTTAAAAGAAACCACTCTACAGATAAGTGTTGCTACATTTTTTGTGTGCAGTATCTCTTATTGTGAAAATGGCCTGCTGCAATTGCTTACCATTCTTGTCTTATTTCTTTGCCTTTTCCAGAGCATTACAAACATCACTGGTTCCCTGAGAAACCCTTCAAAGGCTCTGGCTACCGCTGCATCCGTATCAACCATAAAATGGACCCTATCATCAGCAAGGCAGCTTGCCAGATTGGACTCAGCCTCCAGCAGTTATACCAGCTGCTCCCCAGTGAACTCACACTCTGGGTAGACCCTTTTGAGGTTTCCTACCGGATTGGTGAGGATGGATCCATCTGTGTTTTATATGAGGGATCAGCAGCACCTGTGAGCTCCTATGGGATGCTCACTTGCAAAAATCAGATGATGCTGGGGCGCACCAGCCCTTCCAAAAACTACATGATGACAGTCTCCAGCTAAACGCTCCCAGTTGTCTTTACACTGCCAAGACATGGGCTACTGTATACCTCACCTGAGGATGTATTTTTAAAAAATGAAGAGCTATTTATATTTTTTTAAAAAAGAGAAAATCCAAAATGAAACCCAGTAGCAGGCACTGCTCTTTCTGTGGAGTGGTGTTGAGGTGCCTTTCTAAAGCTGTTGCAAGCTTGTGAGTTTATTAAAACAATGCCAATATCTACCTAATTAGTGTTGGATGACAATTCTGGAGGGTTGGCCTGCCTATCTGGGAAACTGCAGGGTTGGGAACCAGAGTGCGGGGAGTGGAGCAGGGCACAGCACTTTTAAGCAGTGACTCATTCTGGGGTAAGTGCTACAACAACTGTGAATCTCAAGGCCAGAGTGCAAGGATGGTAGTACTTAAGCAATGAACCATGTGTGTTGATGGGACATTGTGAGCTTATTCTAGCCTTGCCTTTTCATTTCTTCAAAAGTTGCCTGTTCATTTTCTTACACTGATACAAGTTTGTTTCCTCACCAGTTTCACCCGCTATCCCTGTCTGATTAACTCTTCGCCTCCCCATGACATCAGTGCATTTTGTTAAAACACCCAGTCACAATTGTAGCCACATTTTCAGTCCCTTGGGTAGTGGGGTTTCAAGTGTTGGCCCATCACTTCGCACAGGAGTTTGATTCCTTTCTGCACCTCATCCTGTTCCTCATGTTCATGCAAAATTCCCAGTTTGCATTGTGAAATACTAAGGAACTTTGCTTGGCAGGCAGGTCCAGGATCTGGTACATCTATCTCAATCCAGTCCTAAATAGAGTTACACCCTTCTAAGTCCAGTGGGCTTAGAAGGGTGTAACACTGTTTAGATTGTACTGTCTGGTTACTCTGGAAATCAACTCCCATACACAGAAATAAAATGGTCAGGCCAACATGAACTTAATCCACCTGTCTGGAAAATGTTCACCGGGTTTTGTCTGTTTCACTGCCTTTATCTTGCCCTTGCAAAATTCCTGACAATGCTGCCAATAAATGCTGAGAAGCAATTACAAAAACAGGGCACTTAACTTTTAAAAATCTGCTTCAGAGCACATGGTTGGTTTGACTCTTCTGTTTTGAAGAGGCAACTGCTTTGCAACCCCCCAGAGTTGCTCCTCCTACCTTTTGTGAATTGAGTTCTCAGACACTGTGCAATATGTTTTATAAACCTTGGGCACTCTGGAGGAGGAGGAAATTCTCTGGGATAGCTTCTGTTGTCAAAGCATCTGTAATTTTTTAAAACATTCTGATACAACTTTTCAAATGTTTGTGTTTGGGTATGTGAATATCTGAACTGGGAAATCTCAGCTCCACAACAGCATGCCATTTAAAGAAGTATGATGGCCTTTTGTACAGAATAGTTTAAAAGATTTTTTTAAAGGGCCTGATCTGTCAGAATTTTCTTTTGTGCAGCCACTGAGATGAATGGAAACTTTGCAAGAACTTTGAGTATATTCTTGTATTCATATCAGTGATGCTTGCACATGAGAAGTTCTGGTGCATTGTGTCCCAGATCTCTTAACTTGCAAAATCTGAAACTGCAAACCAGTGCAGCAGTTAATTATTTTGTTTCTTCTGATTCCATATATAATGCTCTTGTTTTGAAGAGCAGAGCCTCTAGTCAGCAAATACAAAAGTTGTGAAGCACTAAGGGTTCCCTATAAGCTAAAGTGTCTCCACTCCGTTAGCATAATTGTGCAATATTTGGTGACATATTAAGGGGAACATTTTCTGCACTGTAGCTTCCTCCTCCTAGAAAAGTTTCTGTTCTAGTCTGCATGGGAGCCTCATTCCTTATCTCGTGCATAGAAAACATTATACGAGTGGGAACTGTAGTATGTCCAGGAAAAATGTTTATTTTGCTACACTCCCTGCCTCTACGTGGAATTTCCCAAATGCCAGTACTTGTTTGGCTTGCCAGGCTGCCATGATTAATGCAACTCTGTTTAAAGGTATCTTGACATTTCCTTTTACTCCCTCTGTACCAACTAAAGGTGCTTGTGAAAACCAAATGCTTATTCCATCCCCTTTGTTTTCCTCCCCAGTGTCCTTGAAAGGTTGTTGGGGGAAACAAGTAAAGGTTACCAAATAGCGTGCTATTGTATCTGGCATGGAATCTAGTACTAGGATGTTTTTGTTAGCCTTAAGCCAACCAAATTTGGACAGGATCTATTTTGTAATTTGTGCATGTAAAAGCTGTGAATTGATGTATGCTCTTTGTTGCCTTCTAATGACAAGCCTGACACAATCTGTTGCAGTGCTGAAGAACTGTGTCTTAGGAACAGCCTTTGCGTGTGAGTGTGTCTTTCTCCCCCTCTTTTCAAAAAAGTTTGCAAAACTTGAGCTGGACTATTGAATGGGACCTACTTTCATAATTGGTGAAAATAATTGAAAAGTTTGTAAGCTATTTTGTGTTGGGGGTTGGGAGGGGAGGGCTAAGCATTGTACAATAGTTTTTATATGCAAAATGTACAGATATATTGAGAAATGTACACTTTTGTTACTTTAATAAAAATGTAGCAATTGAAGTATGTTGCTGGAAAGATACAAAGTACTTGTTCCTTCTTTGCAAAAAGATTCCCAACAACTTTGGCTCCGAAATAAAACAGTGATGTGATTTAAAACTATATAGACAATGTTTAGTTAATAGCTTGTCAGTGATCTGGTACTGCAGAGCAATCATTGCCTTCAGTACACTTTTTTTATTTTTTTATCCTTGGATTTATATCCCGCCCTACCCCGAAGGGGTATCCTGTCCTGCTAAGATCTTGGATCAAACTGGCTTCCTGGGCTAATGTAGTTTTTCAGGTAAGATCCCCTGACAGGTTGGCTATTGTGGAGCCACAAACTTTGCTTGTTAGGTGATTGTTCACAGTCAGTTCAAAGACACAATAAAGTTGGAGACCAGTGTTCCCTCTAAGCTGAGTTAGTGTGAGCTAGCTCACAGATTTTTAGCCTCCGGCTCACACATTTTTGTCGTAGCTCAAGAAGGATGGTGCTAGGGCAAACTAATTTATGCAATAGCCAAATCGCTCGCTCACAACTTTAATGCCAGTTGCTCACAAGACTCCACAGCTTAGACGGAACATTGTTGGAGACTGCTTATAAGTTAATGCTGCCCACTGTAAATTAGTATTGTTGAATAATATTTCTGAAAGTGCTAAAATGCATAAGGCCCCAAATGAATATTCCGGAGGATGTGCATGTTACAGGTGATGACATTCAAATAGATTTAGGTAGGGATATACATTCTGGAGATAGTAGAGGCAGCTGCATGGCAATTGGCTAGAGTGGCCTACTGCCATGACTACACTGTACTAGTCCACCAAGGGAAGTGCCTCTGAAGGTACATGATGATGGTTCTTCAGACCTGCAGGAAAGCTGCTGTTCCCCAGTAGTACATATCTACACATAATATAGGAAGATTGGCTGTGTGACCAATGCTGGTGACCAGGCTATGGTGGCTGGGGTGGGTGGATGGTATAAAGTCATCCTGGTAACCATGCTTGATTACCACTTCTCCAGGGATAAAAATATGTTGGTGATTACAGTGGAAACAACCTCCCTTCCCTTGCTTGTTCCCAGCCATGAAGAAATTTTCTGTTCTGATTTGTCAAAAGAACAAAATTCTAATACCTCTGAGGATGGCCTAATATAGGCTTTTCTCGCTAAACCCCTCTTATTTTCAGACTTGAACTGGAGCAAAATAACACTACTACAATGGGGTAAGCTTTTTTTGGGGATTATATGGAGCCATTTTTTTAAAAGTTACATTTACTTGTCAGTTGTCATGGAAGTGACAGGAGTCTGTGCTGTGATTTTAGCCTTCCCTTCATACTCTCTAGCCAAGGCTGTGTGACTTCAGAGAAATTGGCTGAGAGAGCCTAGAACATTCTCCAATAATAGCAATAACAAGGATGTATTATAATACAGAGTGGCGAGAACCTTGGATTTTCAGTCTGGTAAAACAAAATCTTCCATTTTCTTTAATGAGGACCTCATCCTTGCAATTCAGATTCTTCTGGTGTATTGAATCATCTAACTGTGTGTGAGCTGTGCCAGAATAATGTGTTTTGAATCTAAGCCAAAAGAACAAAAACACATTACTTAGAGTATGGTAACTATGTTCTCAGAATGAAGGGGAAATTCATTGCTGCTCCCAGATGAGAACGCAACACTTTGCATGTGAAAATCAATGTAGTTTTTAAAAACGTTAGTGGTAACTACCCTATTTCCCCGAAAATAAGACCTACCCCAAAAATAAGCCCTAGCAGGATTTCTATGCATTTGTGGTATAAGCCCTAGTGTGTCTTCTTGAGAAAAAATAAATATAAGACAGTGTCTTATTTTCGGGGAAACACGGAATCATAATGACTCTAGAACATGCTAACAAGCTGCAAAAAATCCATGCAAGAAGAATGAATGAAGGACATTGTCTGCTTTATTATATTTTATTCTAAAGTTAACTAACTGGTATTGAAAATACTAGCTTGCATATACCGGTTTCCCCAAGATTTAGTATACATTCTAGCTACTTGAAATAGTTAATTTGATTTTGCTAGCATGTGTCTAGCCACACACTTCCTCTGACTGCATGGCACTTCTGTTTGTGGAAGGGGGTGACTTATTTCCACAGACTTCCCTCTCTGACTGCAGACCCCCACTTTGTTCTCTGTGCTGTTCCTGGAGGCTTACTTATGGCTGGGGGGGAAGCTTTGAGAGTCCAGAAGGGAAGGTTCTGGGGATGATAGAAAATGCACCATTTACATTATTTGGTAAGTCTTTATAATACATGTGTTTGCGATCATTAGTGGATTTGCATCTTTTCATGTATATGCTCGTTCTCTGCTTAGTCTATAAGGTATAAAGAAAGTTTGCTGTTCCATGGCCCCTGCCACACGGGGGGAAATTGCTGCGGGCAAAGTGTGGCTTTTGAAAGCCGCACCAAAAGAGACACGTGGCGGCAGGATCACACAGATCCCCTGAGCCACCACGCCGTTGCTTCCCGGCACGATCAGATGCCGGGGGGAAAGCCATGGATGGGAGCGCAAGGCAGTCAGCTGTGCATGTGTGCGCATGCACAGTTCGGCTGGGAGCCTCGATTGCTCCTGCAGACGGGTGCACCGGTGATCCGACGGCCATGCTTGATGCAGCGTGTCAGGTTGGTTCTACCTTTTACTAGGTTTATTTTTAGGCCTAAAGGGATGGAACGGGGACGGGTGCGTGCCGATTCCCAGACGTTGCGGTGAGATCGCGGCCGTTTGCTGCGCCCCCGATCCGTCCCTCTTCCGGCCCAAAACCTCCCGTGTGACCGGGGCCCATGTTAATAATCTGGGGGATAGAGACATAACAGTAGTTCTAAAGGATTTATCAAATGTGATCTTAGTGCAGTATCCACTCCTGCATCTATACACGTCATAGCCAGGAATTGACGAAAGCCCAAGATAATGTTGAGTAACCCACTCTGACTGAAAGAGCTGTCTAACGAATACCTCTTTGCTTTTTTACATTTATTTTCCATCTTGGTATTTAAGGCACTGAATGTAGAGTCCCCAGGAGGTAGGTTTTCCACCCTCCAAGTGAGGCCTGGAGATCTCCTGCTATTACAACAGATCTCTGGACAATAGAGATCAGTTCCACTGGAACAAAACTGCTGCTTTCAAGGGTGAACTCTATGGGCATTGTACCCTGCTGAGCTCAATCCCCTCCCCAGGCTCCACCCCCCCAGGCTCCACCTCCAAAATCTCCAGCTATTTCCCAAGCCAGAGCTGGCAGTCCTATCTGTGGGTCTCCCATCCACATTCTGACTAGACCAAGACCTTCTTGGTGAAATTAAACCTGCTGTCTCATATGTTCTCAGACAGTACCCTAGGGCTAATTTAAACACAGAAAAACATGGGTGTAAATAGAATGATACTGAAAGGCACTGGAGTCCCCATGCATCAGTGGGGTTTGTTGCAACCCTGTAGCTTCATTGCCCCTGTCTCTTGTTAATTCCATCATCACTGGTATGTGTCATGTTTGCAACAGCTTTAGTTTGGGATTTATATTACTGGATGTTGTTTGTATGTACCACTGGGGAATGAAAGCACCACTGGTATGGTGCAGTGGTTAGCATGTAGGACCAGGACTGGGATGACCAGGTTCAAATATAGATCAGATGAGTAGCTATGTTTGTCTGTAGCAGTAGAAAAGAGCAAGAGTCCAGTAGCACCTTAAAGACTAACAAAATATGTGGCAGGGGATGAGCTTTTGTGAGTCACTTCTTCAGATTCAGCGTTTGAATACCGTATTTTTCGCTCCATAAGACGCACTCCCCCCCCAAAAAAAAAGTGTGGGGGGGAAGTGTGTGCGTCTTATGGAGCGAATACTGAAAAAAAGAGGTCATAAGAAGGCTGAACGGGGCTTCTCTCCCCCCAGGTGACTTTGGGCCTGTCACAATCTCTCTGCCTAACCTGTCCTCAAAAGTTTGTTGTAAGATTTAAGCAGGGCTATTTTTGGCTGGCTCCCAAGTTGGCCATGCCCAGCAGGAACTCATTAGCATAATAGGCCACACCCAACAGCAGAAACGCATTAGGATTGGCTACATTAGGGGTGTGTGGCCTAACATGCAAAGGAGTTCCTGCTACAAAAAAGCCCTGGGTTTTGACAACAAACAAGGTAAACAGAATAACAAGCAAAAGGTGGGTGTGGCTGGATAACCACACTTCTGGTAACATGGGGGTGCGGCCTAATGTGCTAATGAGCTGTGCTGTCAGGGGTGTGGCCTAATATGCTAATGAGTTCCTGCTGTTGGGTGTGGCCTATTATGCTAATGAGTTCCTGCTGGGCTTTTTCTACAAAAAGAGCCCTGGATTTAAGTGGGGAAAGTTTGTGTGACTGCTTGCCTACACATTATCTGTCAGTGTTGCTCCAGTGTGAACAACAGCAGAATTCTTGTAAGATTGTCTCTAGAACTGATTTAGAAGAATGACAAACATTTAAGCTGTTCCCATCTTACTGGGGTGTTTTCAGGAGCACCCCAGCTACTCTACCACAGCATGATGTGCCTGAGGATGGAAAGCAATAATATGCTCAGGAAGGGACAGACAATGCAAGGCAAAGGTGCTATAAGCAATAAGAACCAGAACATAAGCAATAAGAACTTGTGGTTAAAAAAAAGTATCAGATTATTTATCCCAGCACCAGTACATTTTCAAAGCTTAAAACAATCTGTGTCACGTACTTTTAGGAATGTCATGCCTGAGAATCTGTTTAGAGACTCTCCACTAGAGCCTATTCAGACATTTGAAACATCTTGAACTTGTGCAACAGAGCTTTTAAGATAGTAGCTGATTATCCAAATGACCTAAGTGCCTGATATAAAAACTGTGTTTGGTTGAATGTTCTCAGGTGACAGTGATTCACCAGTGTTTTCCTGGAGCCACTAGTAATCAAGATGGTAAAACAATCACAGCTCTATTATCCTCAGTATGGGCACATCGTTAATTAGTTACCCACACAACTGTCATATACTGCACCTCCTGTTAATACAATTCACCATTGGGTTATTTTACAGTGGCAGTAGGATTCTTTGGATGGATTTTTGGAAC